TTTTTTTGGCCCGGCTGGGCAAGTGGTCCCGCGCCACTCGAGTAGCCTAGGAATTTTTCCAATAAAAAATCCAGCCTTTTACCCAACTGAACAAAATAGTAGTGTTCAGATTGTCCCTCCGGACATCCGTTATCATTGGAACGACACAGAGAAGATTAGCATGGCCCATGCGTAAGGATGACCGCATAAATCGATAATAATGACCAGATTCGATGTTCAATATCATGAATACAGAATTGTTTTTGGTAAGTGTATGCACCCACCTCTGGCCATGAGGAGGTTTATCTTCCGTCGCAAACATTATGGTAAATACTAAATAAGATGCGAGAAAGTGAATGGACTCACATTTTCCATGGGAGAAAGGAATGTTGAGAAACCTAACGTAATGGCCAATTCACAAAAACGCTTTTTCAGTCGAATCTGGCCTTCATTACGGGTCAAATAAATCCAGTCTATAGTAGTCTAGTCTCAATATGAACATCCTCTGAGCATCCCCCACTACCATGCGTAGGACGGTAGTAGTAGGTTTCTGCTCTTTATCTCGGTCCTTCCGGCACGGTCCGGCTTAAGGGATTTTTCCGCAGTAATAAAGCAATCCCTAAATGGTGAACGAGCCTTCCCAGAAGAAAAAAAACCATCACTGCACGGAAAAGGTTTTGCCCTCCTTTAGAAAAAAAAAAAAACAAAAAAAAAAAAAAACAAATCCTTCGTGTAAGAGCTCAGAAATCCATCTCAACCCTCAGCCATCGCCACCTGTGAGGGACCCAAAAACAGAAAGAAGGAAAGTGGGAAGAGTTCTGGTGCTGTTAATAAACAGATTGACTATAACTACTTCAAATCCTGATTTAATAAAGTCAAGGCTCGACCCCTCGGATGAAAAAGGGGGAAAAAAAAAGGGGCGATGTAAAGAGGGACAACTGTGATCTACAGCTGTCGTTCTCATCAAGAGACGAAGAAGCCACAACAGCAAACGAGCAGAGAAAAAAACGCCGCTGAAGGGAATCAAAAACATGGAGCAGCAGACGGCTCAAACTCGAAGATTACACCCACACAGAAAGAAAACGGGGAAAATTAAATAAGATAGATTGCGAAGGAAGATGGGGACTTAAATCGGGCGTTCGAGAGCAGAAGACGGTACTACCGGGCGTTCGAGTGCAGAAGACTATGCTACCGGGCGTTCAAGAGCAGAAGACGCCGTTCAAGACGGTGCTACCGGGCTACCGGGCGTTCGAGAGCAGAAGACGATGCTACCGGGCGTTCACGAGCAGAAGACGGTGCTACCGGGCGTTCGAGAGCAGACGACCTCGCGGTCGTAACCCCAGCTCCCGCCATCACTGATTTTCGAGAACGAGAAACGAGGACAACAAAAGCGCCACCAAGAATAGCGGCTACCAGACAAGCCGCCACAACCACGCCAGCCATCACGCCAAGGCTGACACCTCCCCTTGCTGGCGTTTTGACCGTTGCTAGTGAAGAAGTTGAGGCTGTGTCAGCCACTCTACCATTGACACGTGTACTGCTCCCGTCAGGTCCAAGTGAAGACCATGATCCCGTTGCTGGAGATGCATCTCAGTGGATTGCGCTCGCGATTGTGATGATGATGATGATGAAGATGGCGATTCTGTGCGAGGCTCTGAGGACCATGAAGATGGGGAGGATTCCATTGATAGCGCTGGCGGTGGCGACGATGATAAGTCTGTCGAGGGTTCTGACAACAACGTGGATGGAGAGGATCCCGTAGATGCATCAGGTGATTGCGCTGGGGATGGCAAGGACGACGATTCTCTGGAGAATTCTGACGACGATGGCGATGAAGAGAATTCCGTAGAGGATGACCCCGTGCGTGCAGATGCAGATGCAGCACTTGGTTGCGCTGACGGTGGTTGTGACGAGGAGTATTCTGTCGACGCTTCTGACGAGGATGGCGGTGGGGAGGTTTCTGTTGACTGCGCTTTCGATGATGATGGTGGAGCGGCTTGGCGGTGCTGCTTCTGTTGGAAATGCACCGCTGCATTTCTTTAGAGCTAGCTTGTTAATTGAAAATTCGAACAGCTGGCCAGTCTGGATGGAGACGTACAAATGGCTGTCATCGTTATCCAAAGCAACCGTCCCGATCACGCATCCTCCCGGGAGAATGCATTTTGCCACCGTCTCCGTCTTCACCATGTTCCCTCCGGGTCTATCGATAGCCATCAGGCCGATATTTGTATACAAATCTGTGGCGTAAAATAAGTTACATCCATCTTTGGTCAGAGCAAGAGTCGCGTCGGAGAAGCGCCATGCGCCAGGCAGCGTGTTAACGTCACTAGCGACGTCGTCGTAAGCTATCAGGTCCATAGATTTATTAATTACGTTAAGACCTAGAATCGTAAACTGAGCTTGGTCTCTAGCGTATAGGTAGCTCCCGTCTTGGAGAAAGCCTTGGTGACCGAAGGAGTTAATTCCCTGCCAAGTTCGGCGCCATCACGGCATGCTCGTGTTCTGAAATCGTTGTCAAAGCTGCCCGGCGACTCGCCATCCATGACGGCGCACTCAAGGCAGCCATCTCTTCCCACGTAGAAAATTGTGCGGTTAGGATTGAGTCCACCGGTATTGACGTTGAAGTCGGGGAACTCATAGCTGGTTGTGGAGCCATCCGTCGTGCTGACGAATGCCAGGCCCCGATCACTGAGCATCACAAGATACCGCTCATTCCGCGACAGATCGAACGCCACCAAGTAAGGAAGTGCTGTCTCGCTGCCCACTTTCCTGGAAGGAGCACTTGCGGCAGTGCCGTTCAGATTTTCAGACATCCATTGCAGAGTCAGCACGGAGGAGTTGGCCTGTGCGTCGCCAGAGCTGCAAATGCCGCGCAGATCACCCCCGCGCACAGACTGCGCGTGATAGTTGCTGATAGTACTGCTATTCGCCCATGAATCTTCCACCAAATAGAAGAACACCCCGTCTCGGAGGTGAAGACGACGTTCCTGACCCATCTAAAACACGTTACTGTAACGGATGGAGAGCATGGGGAGGGATCAGCAGCGGTATATACCACACGGAAACCCTGAAGCAGACTCGTGTTTATGATGGAGAAAGAATGCGCTCCTCGCATAATGCCAATGCCAGTCCCGTGAGTCCGCTGGGGTCAGTGCCGTACCCCTGTTCACCGTTCAAGGCCTTGGTGAACGCGGGCCGGTTAGTAGTTCACAGAGCGGGAACTCCTTTCTTTTTTTTTTTTCGGCTGGTAGGGGGGTATTTTTTTCACATAGGTGTGTGGTCCATGTCAATGGGCACCTGCCCAATTTTTTTATATTTTTTTTTATCAGAATATATATATAATATTTTTTATTGAGGGGTGAACTCAGCGCATTCTTTCTCCATCATGCGGATAGGCAGCCAGCTCCTAGCATATCAACGTGCTACGGTTTAACCTGGCGAAGGGAGACCATCATGCGACAGTTTATACCAATTGCTGATCATCACGAACAATCTTTCGGAGAGTCCTATTTGTGACCTCGATCTGACCACCAGTCTGGGGATGGTAAGATGAGGAGAAGCGGAACTGGGTGCCGTAAACCTCGTGGAGCCGTCGCCAGAATCGGCTGGTAAAGCGCGGGTCATGGTCAGATATGATGCTCAGAGGCAAGCTGTGGTCACGCACGGCTCGGTCAAACACGATGTCAGCGACCTCACCTGCACTGATGGCATAGCGGCACCGAACAAAGCGTGCACGCTTCGTGAAGCGGTCGAGGACGACCAGGATAGCATCATGACCGCGGGGGTTCGGAGGACGAAGACGACCGATAAAGTTCATCGAGATGGACTGCCAACGACCCTCAGGGATACGAAGAGGCTGGAGCGAACTATAAGGCAGGTGGTTCGCACTGTTCACCTCCTGACAGGTGGGACACTCTGCGACGTAGTCCTTCACAAAGTCCTTGCGCTTCGGTCAGACGTATAGGCGGCTCATACGAGCCAACGTCTTATGGAAGGGTGGAAGCCCATATGATCGACTGTTGTCTGGTCATGAAACTCTGCTAATGTGGACACGTAGCTATCCAGAGAAGGGAACGCAAATACGGGGCTCTCTGGCTACGTGACACCGTTGGCCGCAGATCCTGCGGCCTAATCCGCGGCCTACCTCCTAGGTCGCAGACCCGCGCCCGAGGCCACGCGTCAAAGTCTAAGCGCGGCCGAGCCACACCCAGGCGGGGGCGCGCACTCAAAATCGGCGCGCTCGCTCTGCCTGCGCACATCGGCCCCTATCACCATGTACAAAAAAAATAAATAAATAAAAAAAATTGGGGGGGTGTTTTTTCATGTGTGAAAATAATAATAAAAAATATATTAAAAAAACAATATATCGATTGATTGATTGTTTTTTTATTGACTGGTTGATTGATTGATTGTTTGATTGATTGATTGATTGATTGATTGATTGATTGATTGGTTAATTGATTGATTGATTGATTGATTGGTTAATTGATTGATTGATTGATTGATTGATTGATTGATTGATCGATTGGTGGCGGAGGGGTCCTCCCTCCTATGTTGCACGCCCGACCGCGGTCGGGGGGGGGAAATCGGCCTCGGCCTCGGCCGAAAGCCGAATCGGCCAAGTTTGGCCTCGACCGACCAGCCAAGTTTTGTGCAGGATTTTTTTTTTTTTCCTAACGCATGAAAATATATATATATATATATATATATATATATATGGGCATGTAGGGCTCAAAAAACCCTACACGCCCATATTTTTTTGGGGGGCATTGTTGTTTTCTATTGCATTAAAAAAAAAAAAAAAAAAAAAAAGCTTCGAAACCCCGCGCAAGTATGTGTGTTTGTGTGTGTGTGTGATGATATTGCGGACGCCTCTGCACAGTAAAAACCATGCACCATACCACCGCAACACTTCAGGAGGAGAATAGGCATCTGAGTGGAGTCGAGTCCAAAGGCAAGGAAGTAAGAACAACGAAACACACGGGCCACGGACAACAAGACAACACATGGGCTGGAGGGCACGGGAGAGGAGGGAGGGCAAACAACCCACAAGCAACAGATACAACAGACAATAAAAAGGCCAAGGGCTAGAAGGCACGAGGGATATAAGACAGCAGACAACAACAAGCACACAAGGCAGGCAAACCAGAAAAAAGTAAAGTCCATAAAGGTTTCAAAGACCGAAAAAAATAAAAAATAAAAATAATAACTGATGATGACAAGATTGTTTCGTCGGAATTGCACCGACTCATCAAGAGGCTGAACCCTCGACAATCTGCGGGAATCTCCATATTAGATGGTTTGGGTCATGAACCCTTTGACCCTTGTTGAAGGCAGACTGTCTCCAAGTGGAACACAGCAGCGGGCGGCGACCCTGTGGAGCACCAGGCAGCACAGCAGAGGCAACACGACTGCAAAACGCCAAAAACGACTGCAAGGAAGACATGGCGCGCAACGCGGAAACGCGGAAGGCACGGCCAGCGAGTGGGCAGCAAGGCAGCAAAGCAGCGAAGCGCAAGGCAACACCGACAACACAGCCACACCACACAGTGAACACAGCAACTTGCAAAAAGCAACATGCAAAGCAAGCGGGACAGGCAGCAAGGCGGCGGTGGTGCGCAGACGAGGCAGTCCACACATCCAATACGGAGCAAAGCAGCGCATGACCTACTCACATCACCGTTGATCCATACAGACTGTTGGTTCCCACCACCCACTGAGCCAGGGAGTTACTCCGACGAGCATCCGTCATCACCTACAGGCAACACAAACAACCCAAACTGAGCAGCCCCCATAAGAGTGCAGTAGGCACTCCAAACGAGGAACCACCGACTGTTTGACACTACTTAAGGGTGCTCAATTTGGGTAACAAAAACACTTAGAAAGATTAGGGGGAGGACAAACGACAACAAAAAAATAGACAAACAGACAACTGATTGTGTGTGTGTGTGTGTGTGTGTGTG